TCCCTGAACCCTAAACCCTACATATCCCTATATGTGTACATATATATATATCCCTTTATTAAGGGGACCTAGTTATTGGCTACTTGCACCCTTGAGGATAAGGAAGCGTAGCCACTTCTGAGGCTATGGCCGGTTCGCATCCCGGCTGCGGATAAGAGGCTTGTCTTCCTGCTATGCTGCTTCTGCGACCACTACCTTAACCCAAGAAGTATGTAGAATAATTGTCTTTGGGGCTATATTTTTTGTGCCATTATTGTACCCTCTTTTCGGGGTCAGGTAGTCGTCCACGATTTAGGGTCTTAAATTCTCTTCATTTTTCTTCTTCTGCTTATGCTTCTTATACGGGAGTTCTGGGTTTAGAGTTTGAGGCGGCCGCCCTTCGTTTCTTCTACTTCTGCGTCTTCTGCGGCCATGTGATGCGCTCCTGCTACTCAGATGGTTTTATGACAGGACTCACGAAAACCATAATGGTATACACTTAGGCCCTAAAGTAGTGATGTAGGAAACCCTTTGGGACCTAAGTACGTGGTACATATCTAAATGGACCCTTTGGCTGGTAGTGAGTTAGTGATGAATAAATGAGAAATGAAACGATCACTTGTATCCCGGCCAAGCCATCTATATGGTACCCAACCCCTGTAAACCCTAAACTCCCCAACACCCTCAACCTCCATAAACTCCGGAACCTGAACCCCTGAACCCCGAAACCCCCAAGTGTGTGCTCACGGCATCATGCTTAAACGGGAGGCACCAGGCCCTCCACTCATAGAATCCTATACTGCATGCTACTGCCTAACACCCCCAGCTCAGATAAGATCCAGGTACGCCCTACAAACCCTTCAGCGGCTAATAACCTCTAACTAAGGCTGAGTGAAAGCTTATTTGGGCTTCATATTGGGCTTGAGCTGTTGGGCTTGGGCTATTGTAGAATCCTATGAACCCCACTGCAAAACAACACACACCTCAAACCATCCGCCCCAAAATGCTTCATCTTTCAGGCTGGAACTGAAATCCCAGTATCCCCTAATTAGGGGATATACCTTGACTCATAGTAGGGGTCCTAGTATCATTTAGGGTATATCCCCAAATTAAAGACTTTTGGTCTTTCTGGGTCCTCAATGTCGCAGAACCACACTTTCCCGAAGGTGCGGTGCCAGCCAAAATAGTTCAACACCCCTCGATGAGACACGAACCCCCCTCCCCCCAAAACACAAAGAGATCGGGTAAAAAAAACGCAGGTAGGCTTCAGAAATAGGAGGAACTATAGACCCCAAAACAATTAAATCCTTATGATGGGGCCTCCCAAAAGGTACGCCTCATTTTGGGACCCTAGGCCCTGAACCCTATATATCCCTATATGACCCTGCCCCTATGTAACCCCTCACAGAATATGGTACCCCTAAACCCTAAATCCTAAACCGCCTAGTTTTAGGCAACTCGCACCTCCTCATCCTCGCCGCCGGGGAGAGGTATGAGCCCTGGCACAGGGTTTGGGATTTAGGGTTTAGGGTTTAGGCCGGTTTAGGGTTAAGTTCCCCTTAAGTAGATAGAATCTGAGATTATATTGGGATAGTGGAAAAGAAAATGGAAACTACTATTTAGGTTTTAGGCTTTGGGGCTTGGGATTTAGGGTATTCTAGTTCCCCTTAAGTAGATAGAATATGGCTCTTGGGTATATTATAAAAAGATCCCCACATACCCCATATTCTATGTACTTCAGGGGGACTATAGCTTTCACCGCCGTCACTGCAGTTGAAGTTAAACTGGAAAACACTAACTTGAAGGACAATCTCTCACAATAGCAGCGGCCACAAATGGGCAACTAGGCCATACCTTACGTCTTAGGGTTTCGGGGACATTCTGGAACAATCTGAAGCCCAACTTCTTGGTTCTCAGTAGGGACTATGGGAATATAATATAGCGCCCCTTCAAGCCCTGTATAGTAGACTCCCATACTCCCTACTAAGAACCCGTCAGCCAAAGTGGAGAGTCGCCCCTCCCCCCAAGCTAACATGGAACCTGACAAACTTACTGACGCTTAGTAGGGACTAAGGGAATATAGTATATAGGGATTATATAGGGATCATATTCCCTTACTCCCCACGAAGAGCCAGTAAGGAAAGGGGTTTACCAACAGAAGGGTCTTTTGAGATTGGTCGTTGATTGGTTGCATGTTAGTTTGGGGGAGGGTAAGTCTGAGTCTCCGTCTAGGTAGGCCCTGTGAAGCTATCTGGAGCTAGCCAATAAAGTTTGAACCCTAAACCATAAACCCGGGAAGCTTTGATTTGTTTTGTGCTTTTGGGATCCGGGTTGACAGATAGGCCCTTCTTAACTACGTGGCACTTAGTTCCCCTACTAAGGGTTAACCCTTTAGGTACCTACAAGAGGAATAAAAGGGAATCCCAAAGGGTTAAGGATCTAAGGTCCAAGCTAAGTCCCAAGGAGTTAACAGACAGTGGCCACTTTTCAGCTTCCGGAGTGTAAGGTTTAGCATGCGATGCCAGTCCCAGCCATCCGCGGAATTTTCTCAGACCTCCAACTCCTTATAGCTGAGTTTCCCAACCCGAAGCCCTAAACCCTAAACCTTTGCAGTACGGTGCAGCTTTGCAAGCTCGAAGTGGCTTGTATACCTACCATACCTACCTCGTACGAATATGGAAGCCCGCTTCAATAGGACCCTTTTGGGCCTGCATGTTAGTTTGGGGAAGGGTACCTAGCTGCAAGAACATGAAAGCTCCAAACGAGGTCCTCCATCTTCTGTGCGGCCTGGCAAGAGCATCTGTGCAGAAGTACTCTAGAGATTCTTCGAAATGGGGATGCCCTGATGAACGCTGAGGATGGTTGCAGTCACAAACCCAGAGGGTCCAAGGACCCAAATCATAAGGTTTTAGGGGCCAAATACTATAGTGTGCATGGTAGTTGGGCCCTTAAACCCTATCGTTTGGGACCTTGGATCCTTAGGGAAAGGGAGTATGGGGCCCGGCACCTCTTCCGGACCCTTGATCATCAGGATTCCTTTAATCTCGGATGTTCGGAGCAGGCACAATTTCCTGGCTAGCAAAAGAAGAAAACTGCAGGATTTTTGCAAACGGACACATATGTCGTGGTTGCAGGCTATGGAGGAAGGACCTCATTGTCTTGGTAGAATCCAAAAACCAGAAGAGATATGCTCTGATCTTGGGGTCCTTCCCAGGTGGGACATTTTGATGTCAAGTGCTTCCCAATAGCCTTCGCAAACCCACCTCCCACACGCCCTATAACGAATTCTTCCCGCATGTCTGGTGAAGGTACATGTAGGTACTATTTGTAAACTTTGGCATTTACAGAGAGAAGGGTAGCCTTATGGGGGTTACAAAATCTCAAGCAGCCACTCCTCGACAGTGTGTCAGCATGGAACTAGCTTGTTCTACTTGAAGGCCCCCGGGACTTAGTAAGTAGGTCCTAACCCTATGGGTCCAAGCATTTAAAAATCGCATACTTGCCCAGAACCCGTACTACAATTCCTAGTGCCCAAATCCCAAGTACCTAACTATGGGGTACTTGGACCCTTAAGGTCAGTAGGTGAAAGATGGGGTCAGAAGTCCGCAATTTGGGACTGGCCTGCTCATAACCCACCTTATAACTTGTGCCTGTAGGTACCATGGCGCAAAGAAAGGGACCATGAGGACCTCCCATTCATGAAGCCAGTTTACGAAGCCTCAAGTAGCAAAACACTTCCCTTGTGTCTTCTGCTACACATGCAAGGGACGTATTATTTCAATTAATACAACCCGTGTGAGCTTCATCCGGTAGCGCATGAACGACACAATGTCATGGCTGTCACAGCACACATAGTATATCCACTCAGCTACTCCGGGGAGAGTCCGACGGGATCGCAAAATGCCCAAGAAGGAACCCTAAACCCTTAAACCCTAAACCCTATAACCCTTCACCCTACACTCTAAAACCTATAACCCTAAACCCTAAAACCCTAGACCCTAAAACCTATAACCCTATTACCCTCAACCCCCCAAAATGTGCCCTAACCTAAGCCTCGATCTCCAACCCGCATTCCGCAAACCCTTACCCACCTGACCACCATAGGCTCTTCTCCAAGCAAAGGAATCGCTACAGCTCCTCTAAAGGGGTTTAGGGTGTAGTAGGGGGTCCTATATGATGAATAAATGCACACCTTACTTCATATTTCTGAGCCGGGTGTCTTTGGAGCTATATTCATTCATTAAGAGGCCTTGGGCCCCACGAGCACCCGAAACAAAACGCAGCCGCTTGCATGTTTTCCCACTCCACAATACCACAGCTAGCTCTCCGTAGTATCTCAATAATGCCCCTAGAGTATCTATATAATATTGCTATACAGTCCCTGTATGCATATATCATTCCAATAACTTTCCTGCAGTTTCCATCTTCCCAAGCCGTAAGCCCTGAGCTGTAAACCCTAAACCCTAAGCCCCCACTCTAAACCCTAAACCCAACGCCCCATACCCTAAACCCTAGAGCCGCACCATAGTTTGCCAGGTGTTGGTCGCCACCTGGGAGGATGATATAGGGTCGGTTACTTGGGTCATGAGGTGTTACGTAAGCTTATGAGGCGGTATGTAAGGTTCTATAAAATGGTAAAAGCTTCTGCTACTATATGGGATGGGCACTACGGTCCAGTGCTCAAGGACATGCACGCGTCTAACAAGGCTTGCATTTAGGGAGGAATATGTAGGCATGGGGGGTTGTGTATACGCAGAGGTGTTATAAGCATCATATGGGGCGGGGGTTACGTGAACCATATAGTCTAAACTCCTAGTATCCCCCTTACAGCCCATATACTAGTCCCCCAAAATATCTCCCATCTAAACCTCTTTAGGAAATTTAGACTATAGCTCATGTGGGTCAGGCTGGGTGAGGTCGTTAGAACTTGCCAAATTCGTTCTCTAAATGCGAAAACCTAAGTGGTAGCTTCCAAGTGCTTCTCCATTTTTCATTCCCTGTTTCCCACCATAATTAAACCCTCAACCAACGGGCAGAAAAGGAGGCAAGTCCGGGCGCCCCGCGTTGCTCTGCGTCGAGCTGCTCTGCACGAAGCTCGCCGAGAAGGTGGCGCTGCCTGGAGTCTTCCAAAGGGTCCATGTAGGCATATCGTATATACTTGGGCAGTCAAATACTTGTAGGGAACCTGTTCTTCCTGAGTATATCCTATATAGCTACATGTGCCCTTTGGGTCTCCTATTAAGGTACACCTTGAGCAATCTAAGAAAGACTAAGATAACACAATACTAGGTACAAAACCGTTTATCCTAGGTATATGGTTGCTGCAGGCAGCGACACTAAAAAGGCATTATCGGGATAAGTTACTACACAGAGGGGGTGTAAGGAGAATTGGGGTTTGGGGAAGAAGGCTCGAGTGTGTAGGGCTGTTGTCATGGTGTTGGGTTGCGGGCTCGGGCTTTCTCAGGCTCATGGCCTTCAAATTGTATAGTCTTTGAGACTAGTGATGAGAACGAAGGATATAACAGCCCCTCAAGAGAATCCACGCGTTGAAGGTGTAGAGTGTGGTGTCGATTCATTCCTGCCCTTAAAGTGGCCACCCATCCCAAATGCTGAGGCGCAAGGCCCCTTGTTGAAGACCGAATAGGCCTGAGTGGCTCTGTGATACTTCAAGGTTAAAGGCAACAAGGCAAATGTTTTGAGACGGGATGTCTTGTAGTTGATAACCATGACCAGATTATCCACGCCCATTAAGCCATGTCTCACCACAAAGGGTTTTTTCATGTCAGAAACAATTTTTTTGGTGAGATTGGAGTCAGAACCCTGCCCCCCAAAATAAGCCCCTTTTTGTGCACTTGGAAAGAATTCCGCAAAGAACTTTCTGATGCTTTGGAATGAATAACTAGACCATCCAACTACCCTCAGGGCTACGGCCTAAGTACCCACTATAAGGGGCTCCATAACTCCAATTAAAGGTACTAGGAAAGTCCTGCCATGTAGCAGCATATTTGTGAGGCATACAGGAGAAAATACTCTTGGAGACAAGGTTTGCGTAGATTGCAAGGCCCATAGAGCCCAATACCTCAAGGGAGGGAATGGAGAATCAAGTCGAAACGAAAATGGAACATGATATGGAAATTTGGTTATTGAGGAGATTACAAGAGTATAGGGGTATTAAAGGCATGTAATACGGGGATACTATAGAAGTATTCTGGAGGTAGAAGGGAAGTGGAAAAGAAAATGGCAGGCTGCTGCCTTTTGATTGAGACTTTAGGGCCCATGGAGCCCAATATCCCGTAACTAAGAAGTATACCTCCCACATCCTCAAACCATATCAGAAATCCAAATATCATGTAGAGTACATACATTCCAGGGTTCAAGGATACAGGAAACTTTGTGGCAAAGGGGAATATCATTCTGCGCTTGCCAGGAGCTACAGCTGTGCTCTTGCCCTCGCATGTTGGACACATTGGCCAAGAAGATAATGCCATTGATGACAATGAGTTGTCGACTCAGTTGAGAGACAAATGTTGAAAAAACCCATGATTCCTGCAACTGCGTGACAAACTTCACCTTCTAATAGTTGACTGCGTCTGCCTACCCATGCTCTCTGCTTGTTTTACATATTGCGGCCCTATGCGCGCTAGTGGTTCCATCAAAAAACAGCAAACCCAAAGGATAACATTCAATGGCTTGATGGTTTGATGCCTACAACCGGCATTCGTCTAAGCTAGAGCGTGGGAAGCTACGTCCATACTGCCCTGAGTACTCACTCATGCTTATGACCGTGCGCCTAAATAGAAAATGGGCTGTTTCTGCCTTGGCAACTGAAGCCTCCGCGTGTCGAACACAAAGCAGATCCAGAACAAGTCAGCGAGCACATCAGTCGAAAGCCTGCATGTGATCCAGTCCGGTATCTGGACCTCAAAGTATGTGGAACTATGGCCTTTTTGACTATCTTTGGGCTTCCGACCATGATTTTACCTACCCCAGCTATCCCTCAATCATTGGGGAATGGCGCATTTTTAAGTCTTATAAGGCTTACTCGCATCTCCGGGTACTTTCGGGGCTCCAGGTATGCTCTCTGGGCCAAGGCGCCGAGTACTCGCCGCTGCTTTCGCGCGCTAGACCAGGCCTAGGCATGTGACTTGATAAAGGGTCTAGGGTTTAGGGTGGTAGGAATAATATAACTGTGTCAGTAGCAATAATAGTAATATTAATAATGACGATGATAGTAAAATGGTACTAGCAGTAACAGTATAAGTAGGACACGGCATTTCTTGTCGCACGGTCTTTTTGCTCAATCTCGAGAGCCGTGTGTATTTTCATGTTTATTCTGCAAAGTCTTTCTTTCTATTCCTATGCTCATAGACATATATAGTCCACATTCCTAATTTTGTTATCACAAGCCTTAGTTTAATTCTGCGCTTAAGCATAAAAGACTGCTCAGATACTTGCCACCACCCACGAGCAGTCTTACAGCAGATTCATCATAAAGTACACTACAATTAGCATAAACCTTCTGGGGGACCATTAGTGGTTTGGGGCAACACGAGCCACACTTTGTAAAAAAAACTGACAGCCATGCGAGCTGTTGCATTCAGGCCCTGAGCTTGGCACACGGCAACTATACCAGTTGGCGGAAGCGGTAGCTTGCCAGCTGAAGGTGTTTTCCGCGCCGGTGCTGAAGCTCAAAAATGGCGAGCTGTCTCTGTAGCTGCAGCCGCGTCGCAGCCTCGCCTGAAGTGCAAGTTTTAAAACCTCTGAAACTGCGTCGGGGTGCCAAGCTCTGCCTGTGTGGCAGAACTCCAGACTCCCACACTCGCTCGTGCTGAAGCTCAAGAATGACGAGCTGTCTCTGTAGCTGCAGTTGTGTCGCTGCCTCGCCAGATCTGTCCGTGTTAAGCCTTTGAAACTGTGTGGGGATTGAAAGCTCTTCCTGTATATAGCAGACCGCCAGACTCCTACACTGAAAAGCACAGAGGCGTTGCATGCTGCTGTTGCTGATGCGAACGCTGATGATACTGATGCTGCGCGTTTCTTAAGCAGTTATGCTTGTTGGTATCGCGCTCCTGCTGAAATTCGGGGATGGCGAGCCGTCCCTGTAGCTGCAGCGGTGTCGCAGCCTCGCCTGAAGTGCACGTTTTAAAAGCTCTGAAGCTGCGTGGGGATAGCAAGCTCTTCCTGCATGGCAGAACCCCAGACTCCCACACTCGCTCGTGCTGAAGCTCAAGAACGGCGAGTCGTCTCTCTAGCTGCAGTTGTGTCGCTGCCTCGCCAGATCTGTCCGTGTTAAGCCTCTGAAGCTGTGTGGGGACGGAAAGCTCTTCCTGTATAGCGGACCGCCAGACTCCCACACTGAAAAGCCCAGAGGCGTTGCTTGCTGCTGGTGATGATGCGAACGCTGATTTTGCCGCTGTCGTTTTTTCCGCTGGTCAGTTTTTTTTTGCTGTCGTCCTTAAATCGTTGTTGTTCTCGTAGCTGTTGTTGATGTTGCTATTGTCGTCGTCGATCAATAATAATGACCGTGATGATTTTGGTCTTATTCGGTTTCGTAGCTGTTGGGGCAACCGCAGAGCGCGCCAGCGTACACGACATGTTCGGACTCCGCATGTAGCACACCATGCACACATGCGCAAACTTTGTGCATGTGGTCTCCAGCGTGTCCGCGTGGCCAGTAGGCGTTCCCTCCAGTGGCCTTGGCGCACAACGCCGTGGTCCACAAAGAACTTTTTTAGCGGTTCAGGCGGTGCTTCCCATCACATGGGACGAGGATGCCTGCCTGCAGCATGAGATACACCAACTCCGGGCCCTCCTTGTAGAGCATCTTGCACAGCAGCCATGCAACATCCTGCAGGCATTAAGCAACATACTCACATGCGGACATTATGCCTCAATGCAACACAGCTTGAAAGCCAACGTGCTGAGGCATGGCATGCAAGTCTCCGCTGCAGCCCCGCCCTTTGTACTGGGGGCTCATGGAGAGCATCAGCACTCCGTGACTCAGGTTGCTCAAGCTGCACAAACCCTGCGCAGAGTCACCAGCGACTGACCAAGGGACAAAATTCAAACTTCACATGGTTGCCTTTTGCTTTCATCTTTCAGTAGTCAACAGTGTCGATCGTCCTTGCGACCGTAGCGTGCTGCTGTTCATGAGGCACTCATTGTCCCTGCTGGGAAGGTGCCCATGCGCATGACTTTACCCCACTCGAATAGCGCCTTCTACGACAGGAAGTTCTTCGAAGATGGCCCGCCGGACCAGATCCGTCACCTGCAAGGTCGGAAGGCACATGCCAAGGTCAGACATTGCTGGGCATGACTTCTTTTACGCAGACCCCAATGGCACATGTTTGGCACCTTGGCCTAGCTTGGTCATATCCGACAGTACATACAGATTGCTCACACGAGTCACACGAGGGTCAGTCTTCTTCCTTTTGCAAGAGCCTGGCGTTGCAGCTGTGGCCGTCGAGTACTGCTTAGGCAGGATTTCTTGATAGCTTTCTCGTAGTGGAAATATAGTCACCCTAGCAAGCGCGCAGCCGGAAACACACTTCGGCGTGCTGCGGCAATGCCTGGTTATAGTCAGCTAGAACCTGAACCAATTGTTTTTCCAGGTCGAAGCTGCCGCTTTGCTTGCAAAGTCAAACCAAATATTCAAAGCATGCTGTGCGGTTTTCCTCGCCCTGACTACTGACAATCGTCTGCATCACCAGCCGGGCCGTGCACGCGCATGCCAAGTACTGCTGTCGCTCGCTTCCCAGCCGTGGTATTGAAGGGGCTAGCGGCGGCAAAACGCAGAGCCACCACTCCGTAGTTGTTCGCAATGGCTCCCATCTTCACGTCCACAATCAGACGGATTCCGTGCATATGGAGTCGCATGAGCAGGCCCGCACAACACACAGGCGCATACACCCTGCCCCCCGGCCCCACTCAACAATTCCCAGACCCACCTGAAGAGGTGCTAAGGCAGATACCTGGTCACAGTTTCGGGCTTAAGGCTTGCGGTTCAAACTACAAGGCTGACGTTCAAAAGGAAACCCTGACGAATGCTATTTTTAAGAAGCCTACAAGTGCGGGTCGTCACGACGTACTTGTCCGAACACAGAAAAACAACCCCCGAATAGAAAAGGTACCGAATAAAGGAAACTACCCTTGGAATGATCATAAAACAGAATACCATCTGAATACCGGCGACTAAGGGCAGGATACCTTCCAAATACAAACCGATACCTTCAGAATCAAACCCAGAACTACGGCGGTTTTATAAGCTCGGAGATAGCGACATCATCTTTTTCACAAGTCCGTAGAATAAAAACAGGAACCATAAATACCCAGCCCATTTCAGTAATAGTACCAAGAGGTCCAAGTATCCAATAACAAGAGCTGCCTCAAAGGGATATCGAGTGAAATACAAGGAGGTATACGGTCATATGGGGATATTTAGGGCTAATTACGGGTCTAAGTGCCCAATAATCTTATGTTTGGAATTTGGGCACTACAAATACAGGATCTGGGTACCATAATTCATATACCATAATTTGTCTTCCTCGTCTGTAGCAGAGGCGCAGAGTTGTCGGCCCTGTACAGTCTGCACCATTGTGTTGCTGGGGTTTTGTGGCAGGAGCAAGGGTAATGAGGAACTACGACTGCCTACTACTAAACCCAGTGTAGTCGACATGATTCTAGTGCTAGCACCACTGGCGAAAGCTGCTGTGGCAGGATTAGGAGGAAGTCAAAGGAGGAGGCGGGGAAGGGGGAGCCTAGCACAGCATAAACCCACAGGTCCACATAGCTATACGGCATATACTGAGGGCCAAAACAGGGTTCCGATATGACTACTTTAGGGAACAACTATATACCATATGGCTCCATGGAGCCAAGCCTAAGGTGTTCAGGCGGTCCAGCTAAACGCCAAAGCGACATTGCTTGAGCCAAGGGCCCTAAAATGTGAGGCGCGACGGCAGGACTCAAAACCTGACTGAGGACAACACCATTCAAAATCCTCATAACAAACCGCATACGATGGTCAGGGAACAAAAACCCACATCCGCTGGAAGATAAAGTTGGGGCGGTCCCTATTGATTCTGCTACCAGGAAGGTCGGTCTTCAGAGAGAATGCATAGCAGACTCGCAACCAGTTGCACAGTAGCACGTCCTTGCAAGGTGAGGCTTCAAATCTTGTACGGTCATCCTTGCCCTGTTGAATGGATTCCCCCATCCCACAATAAACATGATCTATGATTAAGGGCTTCGAAGCTTATTGCAGGGAAAGGGGATTACGCATGATCTCGAAATGGCTGAGCATGCCGCCCGAAGATGAACGCGATCACTGAGACGATGAAGTAAATCTCGGCAGGCAGGCGTTGTTCTATCTAACACAACAGAAACATTAGACTCCCGACTGCGAAATGTATAGCCTTGCAGCAGGTGTGCTGATTGCTTCTTGCACTACTGTACTGTCACTAGACCAATACTGTGATGGCCTGCTATGCTCTCATAGCCTGCTCTGACACAGACTGCCGCTGATGCTGCTAGTACCACCATGACAACAACGACCACTGTATGGCAACCTCGGCCAGTTCCCGACAACCTACCAGCATGTCGTCTAGATTCAATTCCTCGGGAAAATCTAGACTTTAGTTTTGACTATACGGGATCGGAGGCTTTTTAGCAAACAGAGGGAAAGAAGGATGTCAACATCGTGCACTTGGTGGCGAAGCTTGCTGAAAACCTGGGTTCATTGCCAAAGCCTCAACCCTAAAAGGAGCCATAGGATGGCTTGGGCGGCGTAAACAGAAACCTCCAAATTTGTTCTGAACAAGTAGACGAGGGAAGGGATCCCTATAATAGCCCCTCTAATCCCCTGAATAGCCGCTATATAGAACCCCTTCCCTCATTCCGAAGTGATCACCTGACAGTATAAACCCTAAGCCCTGTTAGAGTTCGCAGCCACATGCACCCTTCCTTCCTAAACCCTAAACCCTAAGCCCTATGCCGGCCATGGGCTACAAGCCTTGCTCTGGATTAACTCAGAAAGCCCAATCTCTCATGAATTAAGTAAGAAGATTTAGCTTTCAGGCTTTGAAATTTAGGGATTGGCCCATAATTATCCGCTAGATTAAGGAAAGCACCTTC